CCAATAGGACTAATGGATTGCTGGGCTCATCAGATTGCTGAAAGCAACCTCTACACCATTCCAGAAAAACCTCCAGAAATTAATATGCAATTTGTTGGCATATTTTCTTTTAGAATTTACGTCCACTCCAGTGGGATGTTAAATTGCTCTCGGAGTGTAAACTTTGTTACAAGTTTTAAATCACATCCGCCAGTTTTTAAGCCATCTGCTGATCATGAAGTAAACGCTATTCCATTTTCAGCTGGTTCGGTCCAATAACGACATCTCACTCCCCTCCCTCACTATGTATCAACTTCAAGTCCTTCACAGACAATCCCTCTTTGTGACACGAAAACCTCGATAACGTTCACCTCTTATAAATCTTCAAACTCTTCCTTTTAAACATTTTTTAGAAAACGTCTTCACTACTTCAATTCTCACAAAAAGCTCAGATCCTATTTAAAGTATATTTAGAACAGTAATGTTACATTTACTGCAACATTTTTTTCCCCTTCTTTAATCCAGATTATCTCTCTCATTCGAAACTGAGCTAATAAAAATTAATTCCAATTATCTACTGTTCTCCATAAAAGTCGTCTTGTTAGTTACGCATTTAAAAAAAAGGAGGAGGAAAGAATTACATGCTATAATGAGTAAAGAAAGTCAAGCACAGAAGCACTTAATTGCTCTTATTAATTCTTGTTATAGAGGAGGTAGTAAGCGTACACACCCCCATAAAACAAACTATACCACTTCAAACTTTAAACGAGGTAAGGTCAACAAGTAAAATATGATAGAACAAGACAATTTAACAGCAAACAAACGTAATAAAACTCCTCGATATAAAAACGTCATTGCCGATATTCCGTTTATATCATCATAAAACACTTTCTATATATTTATAAAATGACCAGCTTACCTACTGATGTAGAAAATTTTTACATTTACTGCATTTACACAAGTAAATTTCAATCGGTAGTAGTAAATGATCTAACAAAATAATTATTAAATAGATCTAAAACCATTCAGAGATAATTTTTGCAGTGTAACGTAATTAAAAATGTCGGGAGGAATTAAAAAAAGGGGTGTATAAAGACGAAATTTGAATGATTTTCCCCCTCCCTCCTCTTAATTAGACCTATTTATTGTATGTAACGTGATTTAACATTGACCGAACAAAATTATCGATCAAACTTTAATTATTGATCAACGTTTCATAATTATTCAACCTGATAAAAATGAAGATAATTTCTATTATCTGTCAAGAAAACGTAAAACTTTATTTAGAAGGTAAGAATTTTTACTTCAAACGGCAGGTTAAAAAAAATTACACACGAAATTTTTAACCTTTCACAATGAATATATTTTCGTTTTTTTTAATGTAACCTTTTTAAAACCTATAAAAATTTTTATCTAAATTATTTTTTCGATAATTGATTTATGAGATTTCCTGCCTAGTTTTAAATCTTTATTGTTTTATAAATTACAAAAATGTTTACTAATTAATTTATCCCATTAATTATCATCAGTCAGTTTTGTTCAAAAATGGAAACGTTGAACAATAACAGAAGCTATAATGCATTTTCAATATTCCATTTTTTTTATCCTCTTCTTCCTCTCGATAACTTTTTCAAAAAATTCCCCTCTTCTACGAAATTGACTCGTTGCTTTTTTTTCCCTCCTACTGACCATAAACGACATTTGAATACTTCGAATTTTAATTATATCGCTTGCAATCGCACGAGTAATTTAAAAAAAAATTCATTTTATAATCCTAAATATTTACATAATTATAGGAACCGGAAAAAATACCCATCTTCTTCTTAATCTGACTTAATCTTTTGGATTTAAAATAATTTCTCCGGTAGAGGAAATTGCAGAATATCCTAGAAAATTGCAAATAAAACTCAACTGACAAGGATTTTTACAAAACAAAGTGCATTTATTAGGCTTTCTGATAGCAGAAAAGAAGTTAAGAGAAGGAAAACTTGTTTGCCGTATTTCTTTTCCTTATCTCTGATGTCCTGTATAAAAAGAATTTATTTTCTCTAAAGAATTCCGTTTGTTCCTCTAGAGACAACATTCACTTTAGTTCATTCCTAAATGACAAGAGAACTTCCAAATACACAAAAGAATCGCCGCCTTAATCGTAAAACTTCGGAATTAAGCCAGCGCTCATAAAATTTTATTCCAAAAATCCGGGATCTCTTTATAAACACGCAAATCCTCCTTTATACTGTTATATTAATAATAAGCAGCATTTCGCTTAGAAAATAATAATAATAATAAAAACTAACGCGAACGCGCACATGTATATACACACACAGACAAAAAAAACCTGGAGTTAATAGTGTTGACCTGGATGCACACTCTTAATACTCGAAATAAAACCTAGCCGACTAGTTGAATGATTTATCTTTTTTATGTTTCACAACCAACAACTAGATATAAATACAAAAAATAAATCCGGATGATACACATCTAATAGGGACGTTACGCACCGGAGGGGGAAAAATGACATCTTTCTTCTATGACTTTTTTAGGTGTCGTTGGATGTACAAATAACCATCGCATTGCCAAAACAGATGAAGCTGTCAAAATGTCCCAAATGCCTGAGGAACATTTGGATTGCATTTTCTAAGGAAACTGTGGTGTTCAATATCGATTTCCATCGGCGTCAATTCCTTCGCATGCTTGACCCGAAAATCCTGTAGGAGATGAAAAAATCAGCAATACAAAAAAAGAGTTTAAGATGTAGTTAAACAATGCGGTTAGTTATAAGTTAATATTAAAAAATCCTGATTAAATCTCATTAGGCCCTCTTAATGAGACCATGATAAATCCCTTCCTTGTTTTTACACCCGCATCTCATCCATTTAGTCCTATTGAGACAACGTACTTAGTAAATGTCTGTTCGGCGTGGAAATTAAGCGATTTAGTTCAATAGACAGAAGTTTAAAGAAAAGAAAATCGTAAAAAAGGAAGAAAGAAAAAGATTGAGAGTAGCAAGCAGCAAGCTGGAAGCGGAGGAGACACTTGGCAACAGTATAGAATGAAAGTCGGTATTGCATCGATTACCGGGATGCAATCAATTTATTGACATCTTCTAACGTTTACGAAGGAACGGTGAAATCAGAACAGATGTCGTGGCTTTGCTTTATTCGCTCAGATTGGTCGTGCAGTAAATGAGCTACACTTAACAAAAGCGGTTAAGAAACCCACCTTGAAGATATACATAAACAATACTCCAGATCTCATCTTAACAGATTAGCGTGTTATAGTTATCAACGGAACAATTGTCGCTAACTACAATGGAGTCAACACTCCATCTAAAGGATCATTTATCCAATTCTATAGTGGTGATTGACCTGTAATGAATTGGAATCGATCGAGCGGAAATTATATCCCATCAAAATTTAGTAATTAGCAAATATTCTCCTTTCCGCGATCAAAAATATACGTTTCGTAAAGGTATTATTGGATCAGCGGAATTCGAAACTTAATTTATCCATTCGATCCATTACAGGATTTACTAAATTTAAATGGAATTTCGGGAATTTATCACAACTAAGGGCGCTCCTTTTATCACAAAAGGAGACAGCAATATAGTTAAACCTAGATTTATTTTCAACTTATAGAAAAATGCAGTTTATGACCAATCGTAAATCTTGATTTTTGAGTATTCTCCTCTTATAAACAATTAATAAATCCGGGTTGGGAGTTTTTTAAAATGTGCTCTTGGTTTTTTCTGTGGGAAAAAGAGTATCCAATTAAAGATTTAAGAAAAAATTGATATTCGGACTAGTGATATTTTCTCAATCGATAGAAAATAATTCTTTGGAATGCGTTTCCTTAATCCCTTAAGCTGGCTTTGGAGGTTCTGTTCAATATTCACTACACAAGAAAAAAAAAAATATCGGTGAATAGCGTGTCGTGTCTCGACTGTATTGGTAGGATATAGCTGCTACTCGTTAGTCTCCATTCTTCCACTGCTGGTCACATTTTTAAAATGAAAATTTTTTCCATTGTAAACATTCCAAAATCGATTAGAATACAAACTAACCGTACATTGGTATTACATTGATTTTTGCATGTTTAGCTTTTGGTATTTTCCCAAAAAGTTAAAAGTTCAAGTGCAACATTTTTCTTCTTTTTTCACTAGAAGTGTGATGCAGGTAACTGGTGTGGAATATTTTAAACTTAATTTTGATGCTTTAAAAACATGGGACAATTTTTTTTAATATCCATCAGAGATGATTTTTCTTTTCTTTACAAATATCACATAAAGTTTCTTACCAGAATTTTCTCAATTTATTCATTAAAATATAAATTATGATATCTTTACAGCATTCAATTTATTATTATTGTTAATTATTCTCACAAAAGCAAACAAAATTGACCAAATTAATATATCATTAAAATATAAATTATGTAATCTTTACAGCATTCAATTTATTATTATTGTTAATTATTCTCACAAAAGCAAACAAAATTGACCAAATTAATANTTCATTACTTGATGGAAAAAATAAACTATTGTGTTAAAAAAAAATAGATTTTAACCCTTTAATTCTCAATATAAAACATTAAATTATTTTTTGTTTGATTTGTAGCAAGATAAATTTTCATGTAAGATCTATTATAAAATAATTTATAGTCTGAATTAAATTCTAAAAAATTTATTTATTTATTCAGTATTATTGTTAAAGAAAATTACTAAACAAAACACTAATATAAGTAACAACTTACAAAATATACCAGTGATAATGTGCAATTTATTATTATAGATGTGGATGAATTGTGGATGAATTATGTATTAAAAGTATGAACAGAAATGAGAATTAAAGGATTAAAATGTGGCAAAAGATTTGAGAATGGGGATACCATCCATATGCACACACGAGTGAACTTTTGAAATATGGCAACTTTATTACAACCTGAGAACATCATCTGTCAATATATAAAAAAAAGAGAGAGAGAGAGAGTAGAGAGTAGAGAAATTATGGGAAAACTGTAAAAAATTATGAGCTTGTGTCAATTTAATGTAACATGGTGTTTAGACACATGAACCTTGCTTGTTTTTTCAGATACATGCTTGATTCATTTGAGGCTCAAATCTCAGGAGATTTCACACAATTCCAGGATACATGACAATTCTGGAAAACAGTGAAGACAAATCCTGGATTAGTTAAATCATAGCCAGGTAAACTTAGTTTTCTAAGTAGTCAATATATAAGGTGTTTAATTTCTGGATATGAAAATTCTAGGTGCCATGGCTGAAAATTTAGAGTTTAAATTATTACTAAAATTCCTTAAACAGCCCTTCCAAACAGTAGATGCACCTATCTTTTTTTTCTTTTGGTATAAAATACAGAAAATGATTATCTAATACTAAACTTAATAAACATTTTAAGCTTTTTTTTTCTTGTCATCATGTTAATTTTTGTTTTCCAATCTTCTTTCTTCAATTATTTTAAACATTCATTTAGTGACATATTCAAGAGATGCAATTTTTGACAATATTTTCATACAGAAATAAATACATATTTCTATTTTATGCAGAATTTTCTGGTTTATACTATATATATTTTTGGTTTGTTCTAATAATTGTTCTATATTACTAGACATTATCTTAAAAACTATTTTTTTAAAGCATGCACACACAGCAGAATAAACATACAGCTAATCTTAATGTCAAATTCAGAAACTGGAAGACCACAATTGAGGACCAGTATGCATGTTAAAGATAAAATTGACAAACTAATAAGTGTTTTAAAGAAATTTAGTATTGTCCTTGGTTCATCCAGGTACAACACTTTACAACAGAAGTTTTTTTTTTCCTTTAAAATAATAACACACAAATTAAAAGTCACTAAATAACCAAGTCTATACCAACCACAAAAAATAAAAACTAAATGCCTTATCTCACTTTGTGCAAAACATTTGTGACAACTGCACTGTGACTTCAAAAAATAAAACAAAAAAGTCATATATCCGTCAAACAATACACAGTAGGTTGGTTTTTTTTTTAACAGTCACTGACTGATCTTGCCGGAGAAACTTATTTCTTCCAAATTAAACTATTGATATTGAAAACCCACATAGGCTGAAATAACCTTTAGTAATTTAATGGAGTTACCATTAAATTATACTAAATTTATTAAGTTAGTATAGAAGCAATTTCCTACCATCAACTCACTCAAAAATGTAAAACGTCTACTTATAGGATACAAATCAAACACACAGATGGCATGTGAAGAGGAATTTTAGTCTGTTTGACATCTCTGGAAATTCAGGGCAAATCCAAGTATTCACCAACAGCAATATGTGGAATGCTGTATGGTTATTGACAATGCTAGGTCGTAGGGTCATAAACCTAGTATAGGTCCTTTTTCTAAATGCATACTGTTATTTTCTGGTAGGAGTGCCTCTTCCACCTCCACCTCCCCTTTCTCTACCCCGAGAATTTCCTCCTCTCTGAGGACCCGAATTATGTCCACCACGTTTGTGTGAGTTGGAAATGTAATCACTAAGAGAAGATGAATGACTTCCACTGTTGTTGTTGTAGCGTGCATCACCTCCACCCCATCTGCGTCCTGGTCCCATTCCTGGTCCGGCACCACGTCCTCTTCCTCTTGGTGGTCCACCTCCTCTCCCTCGATTAGAATCTGCATCAGAATTATAATTACGTTCTGGACCGCTTCGACGAGGGACAGAAAAGTTCTGAATAGATCCCATCTGGTTTCTTAATTTCTGATCAATTTCTAATTTTTCCTGTCGTAACTTTTCTACTTCCTACAAATAGTAATAGTAATAACAATAATTTATTCATTATCATCCATAATTTTAAGCAAAACGTTTTATTACTAAAAATATTTGAATATTAATATTCAAGAATAATCATTCTGCATTCATCACATATGATAAACTAAATCACCATTAAGACACCAAAATAAATACTAATTTTTTAAATAATTCAATTAAGAACATTCTTAATTTATATAGTAATCCACGTAAAATGAGCTTTCTGTTGTGATGTAAATACAGAACTTAGACGATAGAGAACGAAAGAGCATTAATTACCAGGCGAACTTTCACAGTAGTAGCAGTTAACATTAAATATTTATGTTTAGTTATTGTCAAAGAAAAATATAAAAATTCCAGAAAGAAATCAATCATCATAAAAAAGTTTTATTAATATAAAATCTATCATTTGTTTAATGACAGATTTTTACTTATAATTCAGGACAATGCAAAAGTAGTCATCTGTTATTATATTTTGTTTTTCAAAGTTATATAATTTATTTTTTGTATTTAATGAAGTAAAAATTACATTACAGATACTAAACATATCTTTATTAATCACCATGTACAATTACACAATCTATACTTCTGTTCTTTTATTCTTAATTCATGAAGATGCATGACAAATCTTTCCAACCTTCTACTAATTTTAATTTTAATAGTGTGTATTAAAGCAATTTTAATACACACTATTTAACAAATAATGTTTAAAAATGGATGATTACTTTGCATCACCCACAAATACACAGTGAAATATTTCAATATCATCTGAAAACTTCTAAAACTCATTAATTTTATACAAGAAAATATTGGAACTGAACTCTTAATGAATCAAATATGAATAAATAAATGAAGTTTTCTAATCATTTCTTGAAAAATAATTGAATAAAATTACATTTTAAGTAAGATGTATAATAGTGAAACTAAACTATTCTATTTCTGATGAATAATTATTTATTGTGACAATTAAAAATTGCAGCCTGGCAATGTGACTATCTTTTAATTTAAAAAAAATTCATGTAACTTCCAGTCCAGACCAGAAGTTCACATATAGTTAATCTAGGTCTTTGGACCTTAAACTTTCCATATCTTCTCTGGTTTTTGGTAGTATCTTGCCTGTCTCCTGATAACAATCAACACATTCTGGTCATTTATCTAACTCTGTTCTCAAGAAAATTTTGAATTGAAATCACATGAATTCCAGTCCAGACCAGAAGTTCATACATAGTTAATATAGTTATAGTGTCTGGGTTTCCTAAGTTTTCCATATTTGGTCTTGATTTTCATCTATCTAATTCTATTCTAGAGATTAACGAAGGACAGACAGGCAACAGTGAAAATGTATACGTCTGCAATTTAAAAGTTATATGGTAAGGAAAATATTTTTCCTTACCATATAACTTGAATCAAATCTTTCATTTAGTTACTATTCATATTTTCACATTAAAGACAACTATAATATTGTAAGATAATTATAACAGAGAAAATGCTGAAATAAAACAAAGATTATTATTATAAATACAACATGCAATGTTTTCATAATGCATTATACTCATTAGCAATTTTATAACTGAGATTTGGAAAGAACAATTGTATTATCACATTCACAAATATTTATCTATTTTATTAAAAACAGAAGAAAAATAAGTTAATTTCCTTTGTAGATCATCACAACTTATTCATATTTTCTCAATTTTTAATTTTTTCTTACTGATTACTATATGTAGATACAGTATTTCTTAAGTTTATCTACTACTACTAAAAAATTATTATAAACTTATAATTTAATATTAAAATTAATTATAAATATTTTATATCATCATTAAAAATAATTTTATTATGTATTTCATAAACATACACCAATTAAAATCATCACTCAATTTAATTTTATTAGATATTTATATAATATAGCTTTCAAAAATAAAAAAAGAAAAGCAAATATACAGTCTATTTTAGATTAAATAATTTTTGAAAAAGCTGTCAATGTAATTCAATTTAAAATAAAATAAATAAATATATATATCTATTATATAATTTTATTCTGAATATGAAAAAAGAATTTGAATTCAGAAGACCTAAACAAATTATAATTCCAATCTGATAAAAATAATTCTAACTGTATACAACTGTGTATAAACTCATTTTCTAAGAAAGAAAATATATATATAAATCAACAATCTAAACATACATATTTTATAACTAAGGAATAAATATTTATCCTTTGAGAACAGAAAATTTATGATAAGTCATTATTAAAACTTTTTTTAATATGCACAACTATTTTTAATTAAAAATAATTCATGTTAACAATGTTATGAAAATTATTATTATTATTTTTTTTTACTATTTTAGAAATATGAAAGTTGATTTTATATTATTCTCAAAGGGATATATTGAATGGAATAAAAATATATTCATTGGAAAGTAATCTGGATGTCTATCTATCAATACTTTAGTAAACTTAACAAAAAATTTCTAGAATTTTGGGAATATATTGGATCATTAAAAGACAAGAAACTTTTTTATTTACATCAAGATTTAGTATTATATATTACACATAAAATTCAAGAAAATTGCAAAAATTCTAAACGAATAGTTAGGATTTTTCAATTTTCTAAAAAGATATGAAAAATTAAAATATTAACTAATAATTTCTACATATAAAGTACAAACCTGTTACAGAATATAAATAAGTCCTGAATATTAATGAACTGATATCAGTATTCATTTTCTTGATTTATTTGCATTTTATGATAATTTTCTTCTCTATTTTGTGAATTGTAATAATATATGAATTCTTATTGCATATTTTAGTTTAAAATATTACCTTAACTTTTTTTTGTCAAAAGAAAAAATTCCCCTAATAAATTTTTCATATAATGAAAAATTACAAATCAAAAATACATATCACTCATACAATACATGTCAAATCTAACTTTATTAAATAAAGATGCCAATATTATGTTTTTCCTCCTACACAGAAATCTAAATTCAACAAAATATATTTAAGAAAATAAAAACTTGCAAAACAAGGAGAATAATTTAAAATGGATAGCAACAACCAATAATAAAACTTATCAGGCAACATTAAGAAAATACAAAGTACAAACTTCAATACTAATTACATATACATATACAATGATTGATAAATATATGAAATTTTAATGAAAAATGAATATAAAATTTTAGAATATGATTTTACAATATAATTTAATGTGAAATAAATAAAATTACAAATACACTCAATTCTGCTTTTACACAGTAGATACATCCCTGAAAAATGCAAATCCACGTAAAACAAAATGTGTAAAAAAAGATACTGTCCATATGAAAGAATGAAACCTAGACCTTAAAACCAAGAAAAATAATACAATTATAAAAAAAAATTATATTAAGTTATATATTAAAATCTCTAAAAATATACTTATATTCTTATTTTAAAATTTGCATTTTTGTAAAAACATTGTTGAATGAGAGCCACATATTTTCCAGTAGATTTACACCTATATTTATTCTACATTGAAGAAGCTAATCCTAATTTCAATTTGTCTGTGACTTGCTCAATAATGACCCAAAGATACTCAATACTTGGCATAACCCAAATGCAACAGCAACAATAACTTGAATCAACAACTTTAATACAAGATGGAATGTCTCCACATATCAAACACTACATACAGCAATTTCTACAACATTTTACTGATAAAGTGACTAGTCGTGTATTTCCTAGTTGCCCGGTCACCTTCTTCTCTGAATCTTAATCTGTTTGATTTTTGGTTGTGGGTACAATTAAAATTGGTTTATCAACACTTTTTAATGGGGAACACACTGAGCAGTATCCTCTAAATTGCTAAGGTCTTTGTATAGCATGAGTGTCTTCAGTAGTGGATTAAGACTTTTGGGACTCCTAGATATAAAACTGAGAGCCTATCTACATAATTTTACATCATAAATAATAATGTTTAATTGTAGCTATAGAATTATGATATATATAATTGCAATGAGTAAAGTTGCTTAATTTTTTTTTCTTATTTCAGGGTTCCAAGATCCCTAGGCAGCACCTCATGGAAATCTGGCACTGAGTGTCTTGTACAAATAAAATGTTCATTGCTTGTAGCACCCAGTGTCATAAATTTTAGTATCAACTATTTTTTATGGAAATGTCTTCTGTATGTCCTGAAATGTCATCACACCAGATTTGGTTGCATTTGGACTGCTAAATCTCTCTCTAGACAGCATTAAATAGAAGTACATTAATTACAATTGCCCAGTAAGTTGTATATACCCTTGATAATCCAGAGAGCTTAAAAATTCTAAAGACATTTTTCATATTTTTTGACAACATTGAGTTCTCCAAGAAAGCAGAATACATCATCAGAAACTTAACTATTTAAGTTTCAAAAATACTAAAAATTTCTTAACTAAAATATTAAAAAAAAGAAAAGAGAAATTTAAAATGTTTACCTTCCATTTTAGTTAACAAACAAAAACAAAATGCTGTGTAAGACATTCTATCATAGAAATTCCAGAGTTTCATTAAATTTGCAAATACAGATTCACAAAATGATGATAAATCAATTAAGACATAGAATGGAAAAAACTTTTTTCATTCTACTTTATGAAGAATTATTCATACTAAGACATTTAATAAATCATCTATGACACTAAGACTTGACTGCAAGATAAAAACATTTTATCAGCCAAAAGAAAAATTTTAAATCAGCTAATTATAGAAGATTGAGAGAGAAAAACAAGGAAAAAATGAAGCGCCAAGAATTCTGAAATTATAAATGTAGAATATATTACTGAGAAGTTAACATAACTGAATAAATTAAACATGCAATTGAATGATTAAAGTCAGTATTAATACAAACATCTTTATTCTCGTTAACAACAACAATTTATAATTATCAAAAAAGTTAATGCTTTTTATTAATTATCACAATTATCAACATGAATAGAATATAAAATACCTAGAAAAAATGTAATCA